GTACAGACACACTCTTACCCAAACAGACATGACATACACATCTCCTGGTGAACAGGTAAGTCTTTTGACAATGCCCTTTGCCTTAGCTTTAGATATGCCTGTTGATAGAGAACTTGACCTTTGACCTGCTTTCACGTTTCTGAGCTCTGGCGAGATACCTTTTCACAATGCTTTACCTTTTCAAGGCCCATACTGCTTTATTTTTACAAGGCCTGAGGCCTATATCGGGTAAAGGCCCTTTTACACGGGTCAACACCGAAGAAGTACGATCCGGTTCACGAACCCGAGTGATGTTGTCAAGTGCCTCCCGTAGCAACGACGATCGCCGTAAATGCTTTCACCACACAATCCTTCACCGTCCTCCCATCCGCTCAACTCAGCAGATGACGTACTGGTGAGAAGTCAACTAGTACGAACTCTCTTGACCACCATGCATGTGTTCATCAGACTGAAAGCGGAGTCGACAAGGCGATCGGCACAGATATACAAGAACAGAAAACGTTGAAGTATCTCGACGAAGAGAGCGCTCACCTCGCCTCCAAGCAATCAAGGCAGCGATGATAGTAGCGGTTGTTCGCACACCGGCTGGTCTCGCAACCCGGCATGTACGACTGCCTATGCTGCTGCTGGCCTCGACTGTGCTACACCATCCACGTACCACGGTCCTGTTCCATTCCACCAATGGGCGCCTGAAGAGTCTGCCATGCGGGAGGTCTCCCTTGGGGCTCGCCGGGCTTAGTGTCCACCAACTTCTCTACCACGGCCGTCTTTTGCCCTCCGAGGGCCTTACCTTTTACTACCGCCCGCTCTCATGTCAGTGCCACACAGCTATGGCGCTGGCCTTGTTCCTTAGCACCACACAGTTAAAGTGCTGGACGAGTGCATGACACGCTGTCCTCCAGGAGGTACACATTCACTTACCAATTTTGCAGCCTAGCGGCAACCTGCATCCGAACTGTTGACTTTTCCGTTGACTTGCCAAGCTGTGACTGATATACTGAAGCCGGGGCTCCCTTCGACCAGTAGGTGCTGCGTCGTGGACTGGTCCGAAGTCAGCGGTACCCTGCCAGGCCCAGCGGGTCCCTGCCTTGGCGCTAAGATTTGTTTTGTACCCGAGTAGACTGCAATGAACCCAGATGCTTCGTGAATGATCTATCGCGAGAGTGGAGCCAAAGGGCGCAACGGGAAAAGCCAGAGGCTCTGCTGCTGTGAGTCCTAAGTTCCTCGCAGTATTCTGATTGGTTGCCGTAGACGCAAATGCAGCAGAAACGCTCTCTGAGTTGTTCTCATGGTGTTTTTGGTGTTTTATTTTGTGGATGCGATTGCAGGAGCGGGACCGTTTGATTCGAACTGGAGTCATTACTCCTTTTGACAGTGTCCAGGGGTTTGAGAAGCGTATGGATGTTCCTGCGAATGGGTATCGGCAGCAAAGAACCGGGGACGTTCAGCAGGCTGGAGGAAACCAGGCTTTGGGAGATGGGACTGTAAATGTGGGACGATCTCCGGTGTCTGGTGGAAGGAATGTACGGGGAGAAGAAGAACAAGAAGAAGGGGATTGTAGAACTGCTGAGGATTACGACGAGGCGTTTCGCAACGATCCGCGGGTGGAAAGCTCAGTTGCGACTGCGGTGACAGCCATGGCGGAGGCAGAGAAATCTCGGCGGCGGACAATTCTTGTGGATGGGAGGGAATTGCCAAAGCTGGAGCCACCAACAAAAGAGTTCAGGTTGCTGAGGAGGAAAGGGGGGGGGAAGCTTGGACCTTTACAGCGGAGTAAGGATGAGGCAGGGATGGAGAGCGTGCGCAAGATTCGCCGCCCCACGATTCGCAGGAACCGGCGAAAGAAGAGGAAAAAGCGATCTGGCAGCGCCAGTGATGATGATGATGATGATAACGGGAGTGACTATGTGGTTGAGGAATCAAGCACTGAAGGTCAGGCCTGGAAAATTTGAAATTGGCTTTTCGTGAAGTTTCGGGGTTCTCGGGGGGATAGAGGGGTTGGGGGGGGGGGGAATTTTTTTTTGTCCGGGCCCCAAAATTTGGGGGGGGCTTACCTCCCCCCCCCCCCCCTTCAGATCTTATTAGACCGGCTGCCATTAATTTATTTGTTTTTGTTGGAACCTCTATTAAACCACCAGTACTTTTCCCAGCCATTTTTCTTCGCCCCGGCTGTGCTTGTGCCGAGTGTGGTGGGATGTAGCGGCCTGCCGTTTCGCTTGGAAAACATCCAGGCAAAACAGGCCATGCTTGCGACTGTTTTTGCCTGGAGGGATTTGGCACAAAATGGCAGGCCAGTACATACCACCAGACGTGACCGTGAGTGCACCACGTCGTAGAGAAATGGCTGGGAACAGTACTGGTGGCTTAAATAAACGCTCCCGATTTGTTACTCTTTCACAGTGGGATGAAGGTCCATTTACTGCGATGGTGTCATATATGTATACACTGTACAGTCTGTTCTCAGTGAATGAAGGTCCATTTATTGTGATGGTCTCATATATATACAGTCTGTACTCACCGAGAACTGCCAGGTGAAAAGGACAAGCTGCCTGATTTCTGTTTGATCTTCTTGACCCGCCCGTACCTGATAGTCTTGAGATGGTGCTATGGCGATCTGAGACCACCTTTTGGCACTTGTTGACTGACTTCCATTATTCCCGGTCTGGGAAGTCCTCACCCGCGGGTTCCTTGCTGTCCGCCCGCTGGTCTGTTTGACACTGGAATGTTCTCCCTTTGATCGTCTTCGCTATTTGCCCTGCGTGAACATGCTCTCCCTTTCATCTTTTTCGCTATTTGCCCCTACGTTAACCATTCCTCTTCAAATTCTCTCCTTCTATTGTCTCACTTTGAAGGCGATGTTTGCCTGTCTGTTTTTGCTGCTGTCTTTTCCTCCTTTAAACCGCCAGTCCGGGGTGGTCAATTTATTCCTGAAGAAAAAATTCCTATCTACTTTGTATCGAACCGGCTGCAGGCGGGCATGTACATCGAAAGCCCGGCCTCCTCTTATACGGCCACACGCTCTTGGAAGTCCCCACCTGAGAGTGGTGGTTTAAGTTCTTTTTCGATTATGACTAGTTAGTGGTTTGTGACTCCTCTTGGCTCCTTGTACATAGCCTCCTCCTATATGGCTGCACGCTCTGGGGGTCCTTTAACTTTTTTTGAAATGATTGTCTTTCGTCACTCTTCTTGGCTCAAGGAACTAGTCACCCCAATGCCCCCATGGTGGACGTATCACCTGTGTCATGTCGGTATTGCGGGAAATGCGATTTACTGGGCTTCATCGTGATGGGCCGTAAAGCCGTTGTTATCCTCGACATTATTTGAAGTTTGAAAATTTAAACTCTTATCTGACTGGTCGGTAGAGTTGTGGACCTGTGCGCCCTTCCTGCCTGCCTTTGGATTTTTTTTATTTTTTTTTTACCACTTGTACCTTTGCCGCTTCAGAAATGGGGGACCATGCCAGTTCCCGAAGACTTCGAAGTCCGGGCCCGACGACGGCTGCCCTTTGATTAATCTAATCGGCGGCCGTCGTTTCGTTTCGGCCCTCCTGAACTGTGGTTGATGTACAAAGGTACTAGTGGTTTGAGCCCCTTGTGATATAAGGTACTATTTTCCGAAACGACGAAGGTACTATAGTGGTTTAAGCCCCTTGTGATATGCTTGGCAGGTTTTTTTTTTTTTTTCCGCCCTTTTCAAGTTGAGGGAAAACTTGCGCTTGGGTTCCTTCTCTCTCGCTCTCTCTCTGCACCCTCAGCTTCTATGTTACCCTCCTCTGTCCCTCTCTCCTCTGCCTATTTCGGATGCGTACTCGTGCAAACGCAAAGTATATCTATATAGTTTGAAAAGCTATTGATTGATCTGAGACTCCTGTTGATGTAGTGCAGGTTCATGGTCAGAAGACGACGTGGAAGACAACCACATGCGCAGAAAAAAGCAGAAGCAAGGGAATAGAAAGAAGCGGAGGAGAAGAGGCTCGGCGAATGGTGGTCGTGGCAGGAATCGCAGCGACGATGATGATGCGGATACCGATTCTGATGATGACGAGGACGACGGCGACTTCTTCAACAAAAAACTGCAAGATGGGGAGAACAACGCCGACGACGAAGATGTCCAACTGGACGATGTGGTATTGGAAGGTGGTTTACGCATTCCCGGAAACATTTACGGAAAACTGTTCGACTATCAAAGAACAGGCGTGAAATGGTTATGGGAACTGCATTGCCAGAGGGCGGGCGGCATCATCGGGGACGAGATGGGTTTGGGGAAGACTGTTCAGGTGGGTTGAAGGTACGTGTTGGGGTCCTATTTCATTGCCTGCCAATCTCTCAGTTTCATCTATTGTACCCTCCATCTGTGCCTTTCCTGATGCCAATGATTTCTGCTTTGCTTTCTCTCTCGGATCTCGCAGGGGTAGGAATTGCMCCCCCCYCCCCCCCCCAAAAAAAAAAAAAAACAAAGAAAAAAGGAATTGCCATACAGAAGCAGTCTGCCAAACGGATTAGTGTTTTTCTTTTGTTATTGTAATAATCCAATTCTTATTTTTAAAAAAACGAAGGAAAGAAATCTGGCACACTCCACGTCTGCCATTCCTCAGCAAACATCTTTCTGCTGTCGTCGGCTTTCCTTTTCCGTTTCCGTCATATTGTTTTGCTCCTTGAGGCTTGGGCTGTCCAATTTCCTTGTTTACAGATGCGTCAAACGAAGGACAATACAGAGTTGGGGGGGAAGGGGGGGGAAGGGGGGAGAGAAGATTTGAGATATGTATCCTTTGGGAGGAGAAAGAGAAAGGGGGGTTAACGGGGAGGGTGAGGGGGGGGAGGGGGAAGAGAGGATTTGAGATATGTATTCTTTGTGAGGAGAAAGAGAAAGGGGGGTTAAAGGGGAGGGTGAGGCTGAGGAGATAGGAGTACCGATGTCTAAATGTTAGTGGGGTGTATGCTTATGGAAGTTGTGACGAAGGGCCGAAAAGAGGAGATGATGGATGATGGTGGCGATGAGCAAGTTGGCGAATAGGGATGCGTTTTTGATCGATGAGAGTTCTTTTGGGTGATGAAATGGTTACGTAATTTGCGTTATACATATGCCCTGTAGGACCTGTACTATTTTCCTCGTCTTTTTCATGTCTCTTCTTGTCTCATGCGCCTGCTTGTGTAATCTGTTGGTGGTAATTTCTAGGGGGGGGGGGGGGGGGGGGGGGGGGGGGGGGGGGGGGGGGGGGGGGGTCGGGGGGGTTCAATGATCGTAGTCGCCAACTTTGTATGATCTTGACAATGAATGTGGACTGGAATATCTAGATACCAGCGGCATTGCTATGGGTGTGTTGTGTTTGGGGGAAGACAGTAGTACGGAAGTGTTTTGCGAATCAGGATGATGGTGTTTGGAGAGCAGGCAGCAGATGTGCACCTGCTGAAGAACATTCAGCAGTGGCAACTGAACTTGATGCACATGGTTCTCTTTCTGACGAACCTCATGGTTGTGCTGTATGTGTGCAATAATGCTGAATGAATGAATGAAATTCTGGACTGGATTGTGCCAGTTGGCAGCTTTTCTGGGTTCACTGCATCACAGCAAGCTGTACAGGCCCAGCATGATTGTGTGTCCTATGACGCTTCTTCGGCAGTGGCGAAGAGAGGTCAAGAAATGGTATCCGCATTTGAGGGTGGCGATTCTCCATGAATCGGCCCTCTCTCCGGCGAAGAAAGCGAGACTTGTCGATCTTGATGAAGACATGGGGAGAGAGGAGGGTGACATGGAAGCTGAGGGTGGAGGTCGAGGAAGGGGCCAAAAGGGAAGCTACTTGCGCAAGTACTGGGAGGAAATGATCTTCAAGTTGCTGGATTGCCCCGAGGGCCTGCTGATCACTACCTATGAGCAATTGCGGTTGCTTAAGGTGAGTGCGCAAGGCTGTGTGTGCATTTTGTTACTTTCTGTGCCGGTTTCTTTCCGTTCGTTTCCGCTTGATGATGAGCTTTTGTTATTCCATCTCACCATTTTGATGCTCCAGACACACCAGAACACAAATAAACTATAAGTACTTTCTGCCGTGAGAGCGGCGGCGTGCTGAAGTCCGTTTTGTTTGCTCATCATGTGCTCCTCATTTGGTATTCGTATGTGATTCGTATGGTATCAGTTTGTTATTCGCCTCTGCTATGCTACTGGTTTGCTATTCATTTGCGATTGGTTTGTTAGTCGTTTGCCATTTGGTTGCTATTCATTTGCCCGTCGTTTGCTATTCCTTGGCTATGCGTTCGTGATTCGTTTCCCTTTTTTGTTTTGCCGTTTGTCTGTTATTCGTTTGCTATTCGTTCGCTGTTCATGTTTTCTGTTTGCGTTTGCTATTCACGTTTTGCTATTTACATTTTTTGAGACTAACATTGCAATTCCTTGTCAGCTATTCGCTCTTCTTCTTCTTCTTCTTCTTCTTCTTCTTCTTCTTCTTCTTCTTCTTTCTTTCTTTTTTCCTTTTGACCATTTCTCGATTTATGCGTGTCATTCTGAATTGCGCAGGGCCCCTGCTAATCGTCTTTCTCTTTATCGTTCCAAAATTTAGCGGATGTCCCGAAGGACGGCTATTCACAATTGTTATTTGTTTGGTTTTACATTTGTTAATTCACATTGGCCATTCGTTTGTTATTCGTTTGATGTTCATGTTTGTTATTTTGTCATTCCTTTGTTCTTTGTGTGCTATTCGTTCTCTATTTGTTTGCTATTCGTTCGCTATTCATCTGATGATTTGTTTGCTCTTTGTTTGTTGCACATGTTTGTTTGCTATTTGTTTGCCTTTTTCTTCGTCTTTTTTTTCTGTCCCCCGGGCCCCCCTATCGGTTTTCTATTTGTTTTCTAGTCTTAGTGGCGTGGTTGCATGACATGCTTGTCTTTGTTTGCTGTTGATTTGTGCAGGATATACTTCTGGAGCATCCCTGGGGTTATGTGATTCTGGATGAGGGCCATCGCATTCGCAATCCAGATGCCGCAATAACGCTCGCTTGCAAGCAAGTGCGGACCGTGCACAGAATCATAATGTCAGGTGCTCCTATCCAGAACAAGCTGACGGAGCTTTGGTCCTTGTTTGACTTTGTTTTTCCTGGTGAGTGAGTTCACAACTTCATATGCCAAGGCACTCGATCATGCTATGCGTCCAATGAACGTGTGCTATCAATGCAATTCAATTCAATGCGCCATATGTCCACTTCACCCTTTCATGAAGTTTCATCTATTGATCCATGAAGTTTCATCTATTGATCCATGAAGTTTCATCTATTGATAGTTTGTTTGTCGGAAGCGTCTGTCTGCAGTTCGCTCGCTTCGATTGTTCCATGATCTTCTTGTAAACATAAATGCTAATCTGATGCTATTGAGCAATAGACGCATGTCTGTAAATAACGAATGTGTTCCTCCTCCTATCGATAGCAAACACTCTATAGTCATGTTCGTGTATATACTATATTAGTGAGTTTGCTATCGACTATAGACATGTTCCTTCCTGTAAACAGTGAACATGCGCTAGACATGTTTTCCTATCGATAGCGAAAATGCTACAGTCATGTTCATGCCTATAATGAATTCGCTATTGAGTATGAAGTTTATAGAAATGTTCCTGTGAATAGGAAACATGCGATAGACATGTTTCTTTCTGTAAATCACATGGCCCAAGGCTTGCAAGATTTCTTCATGATTGCTCACTACTAAAATTTCAGAGGCTCGGGGCTACTGGACTGTAATGCCTGGCGGTGCCAGCTGAAGAAGGAAAAAAAGTTTGTGGCTGGAGGTTCGGCGAAGCTTGGGCGTGCAGTGCATCGCCGCCAGGCCCGTGTGTACTGGTGGGTTTATAGTAACCGTGCTATTGGCTAGTTGTTCCTGGAAAGCTATTGAACATGCTATAGATCGCATTCTTGCAAATATAGACGCATGCTATTGTGCCATAGACATGTTCCTAGAAAACAGTGCACATGCTAGAGACTTGTTCCTGTAAATAGTAATTAGTGGACATCCTATAGAGTACTTTTTTTTGTAGACATCATCCTGTAAATAACAAACATGCTGTATATAGAATAAGTTATTATCCTGCAAGTAGCAAAAATGCTATCTGGAACATGTTCCCCCCGCCCCTTGCCCCCCCCCCCCTCTTTTTCTTTTCTTTTACCATTTCTCGATTTATGTGTGTTATCCTTGCGCATGGGCCATGCTAAAAATCTTCCTTCTCTGTATCGCTCCAATTTTAAACCGCCAGTACATGGCCCCAGCCTTGCAGAAAGTTTTTTGTCGCCACAAGCAAAACTGGGAGGCGCCGCGCGGCCAGACCCGCCGTTGAAAAACAAAATTGGTGGCCTCCGAAGTGGTGCGGGTTTCATGCTGACACCCGCGGGCCGATATGTGGTGTGCTGGTGCTTTAACGGATGTCCCGAAGGACTGGAACATGTTTTCCTTTAGGCAGTGGGAAATGCTTCAGAGGACATGTCTCCTCCATAAGTACTGGGTTAGCGCCGTTGCGTTGTTCAATTATATTTACACAAAACACAAGGTCCGTGTTGTGCTTTCCACATCACTGAGCCAATCCATTATTTACAGTCAAGTCGAGTCAACGGACTCAACGCTGACCCATTATTTACAGTCAAGTCGAGTCAACACTGGCATTCCCACATCGCTCCCGTCAACACTGCCGTATGACAGTGAACTCACTTCCCTCCAGGGAGCACAAAGTTAACTCTCTCCAGAACAACAGCTGATGTAGTTCCTGCAAATGTGTGTGTTTGTTCCGATGTGTGTGGGCATGTCATTGTGTGATGAGAACAACAGTTGATGGATGCCTGTGTGTTTCATTTGGAGGGCAAGGTCATCCGCATAAGGATTTGGTGCTTGTCACCTGCACAATCAATGCCCAATCTTTGTTCTGCCTTTCGGATCACAATTCATCAACACCATCTTCAGCGTGCTGACTTCATCTGCTGTGTCTCTCTCTCTCTCTCTCTCTCTCTCTCTCTCTCTCTCTCTCTCTCTCTCTCTCTCTCT